TTCTCTATGGCATTGTCAAATATTTTCCCAGATTAGAACCATCTGCTTGTTGCAGATTATAGCCAGAAGTGCATGACGAACACATCATGTGGTTCTTGGTAAAGTAGATATTTGGGACATGTTTTATGACCGAAGGTGATAAGAAAAGCATCTATCTGAACAGATAGCTCCTAGTTCTTGCAGGGGAGCAAGTGCATGTTCTTGTTTGTTATGAGTTTTTAATATTTCTTGCATCTCTCACTCTTTGTTGCACATATTTTGGAACTAATTAGCACATTTCTTTCTGCAGGTGGTTAATTTACATTCCCGAATTGAATACTTGAAGTCATATGGAGTATTAATAAACTGAAGTTGCAAATTAATGCTCAAAATTGTCACTTGAAGAATGTATTTTTATTTATTTTAGTGAACAATGTTTTTTTAATTGAAAGAGAAAGAACCTAGATTAAATTCTAGTGAACAATGTTAAACTATGTTACATTTAATTCTAATGTTTATAAACTTTGAATTTATTTTGTTGTTAAATATTTTTTTGTCGTAATTAGATAATGCCACATGATATTAAGTTCAAGTAATATATAGCGGCGTTGGTAAACAAATGCCACTAAAACCACATTCTTTTCCAGCGTTTTATGAAGAAAACGACACTAACGGCGTACAAATTATGGTGTCTTTTAGCACAAACGCCGCTATATAACATAACAGATAGTGGCGTTTTAGAAAACAAACGCGACTAGGTAATTAACGACATTTGTTTTTAAAATGATGCTATAGAACTTGACCTTTTGCGGCGTTTGTTTTTAAAATGTTTTTATAGATCTTGACCTATTGCGGCGTTTTTTGTTCACAAATGCCGCTAACTGTTGTGGCGTTTACTTTACCGACGCTTTTTGCGGTGCTTTTACTAATACCAATAAAGTTTTTAAATGTCGCTATAATACTAAAAAAACGCCGCTAAAAACTTGTTTTGTTGTAATGATGGGAGGAGATTTCTAATCTTACCTTTACAAATTTGAGCTACCGAGAAATGGCTACAAAGTTGATTCCTTTTATGGCTTTCACAAGAGAGAAAATGGAGAAGAAAATGGGTGGGAAGAAGACAAGGAATGATGAAAAAAAAAATGAGCTTGCATGTTTACATCACCAAGTTTTAATGAATTTTCAGCTTTCAAAAGTTTAAGGGTTAATTGCTCTAGGGATCCTTCCTCATTTATCCTTCTTTCAAAGACATCCCTTCCAAGACTTAAATTGACTCAACATAACCCAAACTATTCAACAAATGGGCATGGGTTTCTCTCAAGCCTGATGGATCTATTAAACCCTCTCTCGGGTTTGCCCAAACTCCTAACTCAAAAATCGGGGCGTTACAAAAAAATATTGTGGTCTTAAGTTGACAAAGATATTCTTTTTTCAATGTATAAGATTTATTTTTTAATAATTTAAAGTTAGATATTATTTTAAACAATTACATTTTTTATAATAATATCATATTCACCTCATAAATTTATAAATGATTAATATATTAAATATTAAAAATATAAAATAATTTTAACTACTCAAATTTATTAATATTTTACTAAATTAAACTCTTGGTATAATATTATTATTATGTTTATAATTTCGAGTAAAACACGAATAATAAGAATTGAGAATGACCCATATAAAAAAATATTATCCTAGGAATATTTTTATCCACAGTGATGAGAATTGTGTAATACCTAAGAATTTGATTGCAATAATATTCCTACCATTTTACCAAAAAAACTGTTACTATTGATAATAAATTCTTACATAATAATGATTTTTTTTACGAATCAAATGTAATAATACAATCTTGAAAAAAGATTATTTCTCTTAGTAATGATTTTTTTTCACGAAGTAAACGTACTCTAAGGTTATTTATGTATAAGCCTTTAATTTAGTCTCCAAGTCCATTTTCTAGGCTTAAATATACATTTGACCCCTCTAATTATACCTAAAAAAACAAGTGAATCATCGTTTCTAATCACATGTTATTGAATTTAAAAATCATGATCAATTAATCCTCACTAGTTACATTCTTCGTTGATCACATTAACGACTGTTAAATTTACTGATGTGATGTCATTTAATTGGTTAAATTCTTTTCTTAAACTCATTAAAAATATTTTTTAATTATAAATAATTTTAATAACTGTAAAAATATAAAATAATTAATAATTTCTTAAATATAAAAATATTAAAAAATACCATTAATTATTAGTATTATTTATCAAATAAAAAATAAAATTAATAAATATTTACTATAAAAATAATAGAAATTAAACATGAGTGTAAAGTAAAAAAATTTGAATATACGAGAATAAAGAATACATCATTTAAAAATAAGAGTAAAATCAACATACTAGTACATATAAAATGAGTTCTCGACAATTATTTATATTGCATTACAAATAATTCTTATCCAATCAAATTTATATTATTTAATTACAAATTTATTAATTCATAAATATTTTTGTTTTAATATCATAACAGACTATTACCAAAAATTTATTTAGATATATCAAGATTTATAGCTAATTATAAAATATCTACGCACTATCATACTTCCTAATATTATTATACGTTTCAAAATAATGACACTAATATCAACATTGATGGTTTTTTTTAGCCCAATACCCCAAGCGAGTTAATTATTTAGGGTATTGGGTCAACATGGACTTTATTTTAGAAACTACAGCATTAGCTACGTAGAACACCGAACTCGTCACTTTGAGATGACGAGTTCATGAAGATATTATTTTTAAATTATCCCCATGAAATGGGTCCCATGTAGATCATTATTTTATTAACACTAAAATGACTTGTCACCTAAGCGTGATGAGTTCGTTTAAAAAATATTTTTTTAAAATTACAAAAATAAAATAAAAAAATATAAATTAAAAAATTAAATGGAACTTGCCACCTTGACATGACAAGTTCCTTTAAATTCAAAAAATTAGTCGTTAGTCAACGGCTATATGGCAACGGTCATGGCCAACGGTCAATTGGAAATCGTCACCTCGAGGTGAGGAGTTCGACCGTATATTTTTTCCAACTAGCCGTTTATAACCATTGAATGTAAGGCTATAAATAAGAGTTTGGGGTTTTTGTTCCTCACCAAACCCTGAATTCAAAAAAAAATACAAAAAACATATCTTCTATCAAAATCTAAAAAAATGACAACCCAAAAATATATGTTACGCCTAGATAATGTCCATGTTTCATTGATCGTACGTCGACCATATGATGAATGGAATATTCATAAGCACGGGTGACACACGGAGAGCCGCATTAGTGGACCGTGATATATCTGCAGCAATCCGATATATTTTCGACCATATTTGTACGTAGCTTCAAGTTGTACCCGATGTTGATTGAAACTCTGGTCGAACGTTGGCGGCCCGAGACACACGCGTTCCACTTCCCGAGTGGTGAAGCAACGATTAATTTGGAAGACGTTGCTTACCAACTCAGTGTTCCTGTGAATGGAGCCTCTGTGGTGAGTCAGAACATGTACGACCCTGCATCATTGGTATACCAAGTTTTAGGAAAATGTCCACCATCCGATGTCATCGGCGGCTTTTGGGTACGATAACATGGTTGGAATCGAAATTTCAAGTGATGGACGAGACTATCAAAGAGGAGGTTATTTTCGCGTCTCGAGTATATATTCTCCAACTAATTAGAGGGGTATTATTACCAGATAAATCTGGTAATTTGGTCCACACTTAGTATCTGCGATATTTGGAAGACTTTGTTGTGTGTTGTAATACCAGTTTTGGCATTTCTATACCGAGAGCTTTGCAAGGCTACAATTGTCCAGTCGAGTCGAAATGCTGATGTCGTCGGCTATCTGATACTGCTACAGTCGTGGGCTTGGTATCGATTCCTGCTTATGACACCAATTACAACAACCCCTATCGAGTTTCCTCTGGATGAAAGGTAATTGTTTTTTATGATATTTTTTAAATCCATAAATTTAATTATTTTTTATTTGTTTATAATATTTTTATTTTTAAAAATTTTAAATGGTATCATAAAATTTTATATTGGTAATTTAAAAAAATATTTTTTAAACTGACTCATCACGTCGAAATGATGAGTCATTTTAATGATAATAAAATAATGATCCATATGGGTCTACTTCACGGAAATAATTTAAAAATAATATCTTTAAAAACTTGTCATTTTGAGGTGACGAGTTCAGTGTTCACTATAGAGAATGTCGTAGTTTCCAAAATAAAATCTATATTAGCCTAATACCCTAAATAATTAATATGCTTGAAGTATTAGGCCGAAAAAACCAACATTGATTAAAACTAAATGCTTACGTAAAAGAGTCAATTTTAAGAAGGGCTGAAAAAAAAATTAAAGGAATAAAGGGCTTAACATATAATTGTACTACTTTAGATTTAAAATATTTGTACTTTTAAAGAAAATCATATAAACCCATGAATCTTAAAAAAATTAATTTTTCCTTAAAACCTTGAAAGAAAAATAATTTGATCACGACTAGATAAATATTCAGATTGAATGGACTCGACTCGAACTCGAGCTCGACTCGAATTCTTAATGAGCCGAAACGAGCTACTTGATACTCGACTCGAAAACCTCGTGAGCAGCTCGAAAATATAATATATTAAAAATTTATTTTTTTAAAAATAAATTATTAATAATATTAATATTTATGTGTTGATTTTTTTTAAATACAATAAGGCTTTCATGTATTTAAGATTCAGGTTCGAATTTGAGTTTGAAGATTCAATCTTGTTAAGTTTAAGAATTTTTTTTTCATTTCGAGCATTTTCGAGCTGCTCACGAGCTTCAGTTCAGGATTTCGAGTTCGAGTCGAGTTTAAAAATTTTAAGCTCGCGAGTTTTCGAGTCGAGTCGAACTTCATTTCAGAATTTTCGTGTCGAGTCGAGCTCAGCAATACTCGAACTCGACTCGGCTCGTTTACACCCCTAGTCACGAGTAGCCATCTAGAGTTATCTCTGAGCCGTCTGATGAATTCTTCAAGGACAGGGTGGTTTGAAAAAAGTATTTAATGCTGTACATTTTTAATAGGATATGAGCCAGCAAAATTGACTTCCATGGATAATTTGATAGATTCTAGATAAATGACTACAAGGGAAGCCACTTAATCAAATCCCACATCATTTGAAGGCTTCAACCGGAGCTGACATCTCCAACTCACACGCTGCTTGAAAATACTCAACCGCCTGTTCCGACGACCCTTCCATCTTTGCTATCAACCCAAGGTTCCTCCATGCATCGTGATTCATCGGCTCCAACCGAAGAGCATTCATCAGAAAGCTTCTTGCAATCGGGAGCGACGATTGATTGCCAAGTCGTATAAGTACTATCGCTGTTGAAACAATACTTGGCACGTAATCTGGTTCGATCGATAGTGCGATCGAGAAGGATACCAAAGCCTCTTTATAAAGTGATTGAGCTTCAAACAACAACCCTGCAGAAACACATGGGGAAACTATAAGGGGGAAGTGCATGCATTGTTGGCTTTTATAACAAGGATTCATGCGATTTGTAGTACCACTTGTATGCCAACTTTTCGGTGAATAAAGTTCAACTGACTTAGCTTTGTTTACACAAATTTCTGCATCGCGCCACAAACCAACTTTCGTATATATAGTAGCTAGATCCTGCCATGCAGCCATTTCGATTTTTCTTTTTGCTTCATTCTGCAAAAGACATGACATATGAACAGTTGCAAGCAAGCAATGAACTTAGCAAAACGAAAAAAGAGGTACTTTAAGGCCGAAGAACTCACACCTCTAAATCGGACTGAGGTTCTCTTTGTGCTTGAATCAGAGATAGCAAGATTCGGTAAGTTTCAATTGCTTGCTTGGGCTGTTCCTGAGCAATCTGAAGCACAGCTCTTACTCTAAGAAGTTCCAACTGATCTAAACTACCAGCTTCATCCAAAGCAAATTCAAGTATGGTTTCAGCGTCTTTGAACCGGTGGTCAGCGGAAAGTATTAGCGCCAATAGCCTCCAACCTCTACCCGAGTCATTGTTCACCATGTTAGAGTACATCATTGCATTGTCAAAGGCCACATCCAGATTCCTCTGAACTGCATTTTCTAAACTGAGGTTGAAAACCAATTCAGGATCTTCCTTCATGTTGAGAGTGGCGGAGTTGAGCGAAGCCAGAGATTCTTTATGAAAGAGGGCTCTTTCCGAATCTGATATCGAAACTCTAGCAGCATTCCCATAGCAAACACCAAGAAACCTATGGGCTTGACCCTTGAAATGTTCGTTCGGTTGATCTGCTAAATCAATCACATTACGAGCAAAAGTTATCCCGTAAAGAGCATGCTTTGGATCTTGAGAAGATAACTTCGCACCAAACAGTGAAGCCGGGATATGAGGTTTGTGCTTCGCTTCCGACTGGCCAGAAACCTTTTTCAATAAGTTCAATGCTACCTTGTTCCGACCAGCAGCAGCATAACAAAGAGCAAGAAGATACCACCTATTTGCTCTTTCATATATACCCGGGAGGGCCTGCTCCACAAAACCTGCCAATAATTCAAACTGCCCGGTAACGGTGAAAGCAAAAGTCAGATGATCCATAATATCCGCATCCCATTTTAGTTCTCCGTAAGCCACTTTTTGCATAAGCATTAGGAGGAGGAGAATCGCTTCCTCCATATTACCATTAGGGGTAGCAGAGCCCCATACTTGTAAGTGAGCAGGGAGGCTTGTTTCAACACCACCATAAAGTAACGTGGCAGCTAAGTCTTTCTGCACATTAGCTATTCTCAGGGGATCTAAATTCCATGGTTTGACCAATACCCGACGATATGTGGTTATGGCTTCACTGAGAAAACCAGCCTTTTTCCATAGATTAGGGAGCAATTCTAATACTTTATGAAACACCTCCAGTAACTTGCAATCCTTGGCAATTCCCTCTCGCATTCCGCTAGGAAATGCTGCCTCAACTACCTCCAAAATTATATTGCACTCCTTTGCAGCATCTGATAAATGAAAAGACATCAGAACCATTCAAACCTTATGCTCTAACAACGTGCAATGCCATTTCTAAAATTCCTGATCTTCAATAATAAAACCTGAATTTTCTATCGGTTCATATATTCCAATTCGCAAAAGCCTCATCGTTACAATCAAATTATATTAAAAAGTTCATCTTGATCAAAACATATCCTCAACATATCAGAGATTTGTTATAAGATCGGTTACCTCTAAAATGCCCAAGTTCCTCCAACGATTTAGCTTTCAATAAAATTGCTTCAAGAAGTAAGCTGACTGAATGCATCGACATCACACTCGAAGGGATAACGTCACCTTTGGATCGTGGTTTTCCTTGCCGGGTTCTCTCAACAATGGCCCCAGTCATCCTTGGTGTCAAACCTTTGATGTCAATGCCCTGAAAAACCTGAAGCGCGGCATCTAAGTTCCCTCTTTGATACTCTAGCCTCCCCAATAATGCCCTTGCTTCCTACAAACACATTCAAAGAAACCCAAAACTAATTAGCTAGCAAAACGATCAATCAATGAATACAGATTGGTTTTGGCAAACAACCCACCTCATAGTTCAGGGAAAGAGCTTCCTTGAGAGTTGATTCAGCTTCATCCACTTGGACATCATCGAGTTTCGGTTCCCAGTCTCCGGTCCGAGATGAGAGTCCACTGGCTGAGAAATCTCTGGTCGCCAATGATTCCGGCGACTGCGGTGCATCTTCGAACTTGAATTGTTCACCTGAGCAAGCACACAGCATCTTCTCCAAAGAAAACAACAGCTTACAATCTGAATGTCAAAATCTGGAGAAATAAAATATGGAACATCACAATTTTATTTTGTTTTGGAAACCCAGAAACAAGCGCCGATTACAGCAACAATCCCTCGTAAAAATGATTGAGCTCAAAAGAAAATGCATAAAAAAAACACCAATAACAGGAAGACAAATTCCATATTTAAATAAAGCAAGAACAAAAGTTCACGAGAAATGAAAATGGCGAGACAAACAAAGAGAACAGAGCTTAGAACTTACCAAAAAACCCAGCAAAAAAACGAGGCTAGCAGAAATCGTTTACACCATGAAAGCTACTAAGAAAAAAAAAGTTAAAATCTCCAGTCACTGCCTTTTGGGGATTTGTTTCATCTCATCACATTTTCTCTGAAAAACAAAATGAAATTATAAGGTGGTGACAACAGAAACCAAATACTCCCAAAAAATAAGTGGTTTTGGAGATCTAATCAAGAGATGGGCATTTCTCTTTTGCTAATTTAATAAAAGAAAAGTAGTTTTTTTTTCATCTTTATGCATGTGTGTGTAAAGTGGAAGCATGGGGGCTTACTAGACATATACACAGATTCTTGATGTGGAAAATTTTGGCCATTTTTGGTTGTCACAAAGCTTTGGTGGTTAATTCAAGAAGAACCAATGGGCTGTGGGAAATTTATATCGTCTCTTTCATTATTGCATTACAAAACTGCCCCCTTCTCTCCTGCTACCAGAATATCGGGTGCAGTAATTCATTGACATTGAATCCCCTGTCCCCCTCCCTCCCTATATTTACGAGCATCAAATATAATTTCTACATCACTCAAATGATCTCAATCATTAAAAAAATATTATTATTTTAAAAAAATTTACATTCGAACACGACATATTCAAAAATAAATCAACATTCATCTTCAAAAGGAAAACGGCTGCTTTTGATACGTAAACTATTTATCCGGTCACTCACTTTTTACGTTATTTCTATTATTGTAACTCAATTGTTGTTTCTTAAATCAAATTTAATATTATGTTTTGATTTTGTTTTGGTCACCATTCGTTAAAAAATTAACAATGATGTTGATATAAAATTTTTTTAATTACCTTTTTAACATTGATATGATATTATCTTACGGTAACACGTCAGCATAACTATTAATTTTTAACAGTGTGTGATCAAAACATAAGGTAAAGTATCATTTAAAAAAATACTAGTTGAGCTAGTAAATATAAACTAAATAATAAGTGGATGACCAAATAAGTAGTTTACCCTAAATAAAAACCACCAGAATAGTGTTTATGTAAAAAGATGCAATAGAGAAGGTTATAAATAGAAAAGACTAAACTTTAAAGGACTATAATGTAATTATAAACAGTAATAGAAAAGTGGGAAACAGCAGTAAAATGAAAAAGAAAAGAAAATTACATTTTATGCATATTTTAAAATAGAGGACCCCAGGCAATTTTAACTTTAAATTGAAATAAATGCAAAGCAAAGCAAAGCTTGATAAAGGCAGAAAGGGTAGGGGTGATTTTCTTCATTCAATTTATGATTCCAACTGCAATTTCCAATTTTAAAATGAAATTCCCATCACAGCTTTGATCATGAAATAAAAGGGAACAGTGCATTATGGGTAACATGATTAGGGAGAAGCTTTTGTTGACCAATTTTGCTTCTTCAAATACATTTTTGTAATCCTATGAAGTGCACAGTGCCCGAGAGGAATCCAGCCACAACCCAAAGATCCACATGCTAGGCGACATAATTACCGGATTTATATGCTCACTTTAGCCTTTTTGGCTTTAGAATTTTGAAAAGAATTTCACCCCCAATGTCTCCTCCAAGTCCATGAATTCACATTTGATGCATGCTTCAAGCTAATCAAACTCATTTTACAATCCAATACCAATATGTAAGGTTAAACATAAGGTTAACATTCAAACTTTGTGGGTAAATTATATATTTAATTATATATGCTCGGTTCGTGAACATAAACGAACGGATTACCGAACATTCACGAACGAGTCTTTTGTTCGTGTTCGTTCATTTAATTAAACGAACATTAAATCTTATTCATGATCGTTCGTTTAATAAATAAACAAATTTTTCGTCAAACGGTTTGCTAAATGTTTGGTTCGTTTACAGGCCTAGTTAAATCAGATATGAAAATGTGACATGACATTTATGTATGCTAATGTATACTGTTTTTTGTCGATATAATATATGTGTGTCATCCACATCATTTTTTGTATTTTTTATTTTATCTTATTCCAAAGATGAAAATTTTATAATTTCATCTCGTGAAATTGAAATCGTCCATCAACATCTTCTCTAGCCACTTAAGACACAGACAATCTCACCTCATTATCTCCTACCACTCTATTTGTTTAGATCTTCTAGAGTCGCTTTAAAACTAATGAAGTTCAACCCAAACCCCCAAAATCCATGAAATCCTAAACTAGTGTGATATACAATACCCATCATTCAATTAGCGTGGAATCAAGATATACAATTCTTTTTCTCCTTCTCTTCCTCCCCACCATTTAGATTTGAAAAAAATATGTTTTAGTGTCCAGAAATTGAATAGAATATGAAAGTAAGGGGTTTCACAAAAAATGAAAAAAAAATTGAAGTCAATTCATGATTTTTAAAACAAAATTGTTCAGTCATAACGCCGTTAAATATTTAACAGTGGAGTGATTAAAATAAAAATAAATCAAAAGTTCAATGAGTAAACTGGAAAAAAAATTTAGTAATCAAAATAGGAGTAAAAAGAAAGTTGAGTAATATACGTTTTAATTTACCCTGTAATGTTTAGCCAAACTATGATATGTAGAGCATTTTCATTTTGTATCAGCCGAAACGAAATCAAAACATATTGACTTTTTCATTAAAATGAAACTTATATTATTTGGTAGGGTTATAAATGAACCAACGTTCATCGAATCATTCGGTAGGAAATTTATTAATGTTGTTAACTATAGAAGTATCTTAGAGAGAAAGGCAAGAAAAGAGTAAATTGGTTATGAATGTATTTCATGATCAGAATTACACATGCTAAGCAACTATTTAAAGCCTCCAATGAGCTGTTGCATAATTGGTTACAACCAACTACAACCGATTAACCTCTGCACTTAACTACTTAACCGAATATGGTTTAACATTCACCCTGATTCTTACAAACTTCTTTCAACTAAAAAAAACATAATTTGCTTCCGAACAAATCAAACTTGACCAAAGGAAGAGGTTTTGTTAGGATATCTACAACTTGACTATTAGTTGGTACATAGTTGATTTGAACTTCATGTGCTGCCACATTTTCTCGCACAAAATGCAAGTCTAGCTCGATATACTTGTTTTTTGCAGCTAATATGGGGTTTGCAGCCATAGCTACTGCACTGGTATTATCACACCACACCTTGGGCTCTTCAGGCAGTGTAATCTTCATCTCATGCAGCACAACCTTTATCTATACAACTTCAGAAGTAGCATCTGTAAGACTCTTGTACTCAGCTTCTGTAGTGGATCTGGATATTGCACATTATTTTTCGAGGTTTATGCCAGTAGATGGTTTCTATTGTAAACATAATATCCAGAAATTGATCTTCTGTCATTAGCATCTCCACCCCAATTAGAGTCTGAGAAAGCATTAAGCACCATCAGTTTTTGTGCTTGAGATGAAAACCAAAGGCCAGCTTCTAGTGTTCCTCGTAAGTACCTCAGAATACGCTTGACAACAAGACAATGTACCTCAGTGGGCTCTTTCAAGAACTGTGCAGCTTTGTTAACTGCAAATGAAATGTCTGGCCTTGTATGAAAAATGTATTGCAGTGCCCCAACTACACTTCTATACTGATGTGGCTTGCTTAACACTTCCCCATCACTCTTACTAAGCTTGGTTGTTGTTGCCATGGGAGTGGAAGCTGAATTCATATTCAACATTTGATTCTTTTGCAGTAACTCATTAACAAACTTCTTTTGACTGAGAAACAAGCCACTTTCTGATCGATGCACCTTTATACCAAGAAAGTACTTAAGTTGCCCAAGATCTTTTAAAGAAAACTTCTCATGCAATGCATGAATTATTTGATCAATTTCCAGCTGGGAACTCTTTGTGATGAGAATTCCATCCACATACACAACCATGTACACTACTTCATGATCCTCTTGGCGAATAAACAATAAAGAGTCTGCCCTTGAAGGCTTGAACCTCAAACTAAGTAAAATTTCTCTTAACTTAAGAAACCAGTTTCTTGGGGATTGCCTTAACCCATACAATGCCTTTTTTAGCTTGCACACCAAGACAGCTTCATCAGTGGATTGTTCTTCAAAGCCATAAATCTATTGCATATGTACATCCTCACTTAGGTCACCTTTTAGAAAGGTATTATTCACATCCGCCTGCCTTATTTGCTAGTGACATGAAACAACCAATGAGATCAATATGTTTACTGTAAAAAACTGAACCACAAGACTAAATGTATCCATAAAATCATAACCTGGTATATGAGAATACCCCTTGGTAACCATTATAGCTTTCAACTTTTCTATTGAACCATCAACATTCTTTTTCACCTTGAACAGCCATTTGCAACCAATGACTTTTCTACCAGCTGGTAATTCCACAATATCCCATGTGTTATTACTGATAAGTGCATTGTATTCAGCCATAACATCCATCCTCTAGTCATCATCTTTGGGTGTAGCTTGAATATCTCCAGGCACTTCATTGAATAGAGTAGATTTTTTGCTTAAAAATCCCATGCTTGCTTCTAGTTATCATAGCATGAGTGTTGCTCATTCTAGTATCTAGAACATTTTCTTGATTTTGGATTTTCTCACTAGAGGCAGACTGTTCATGATGAGAAGAGGCATTAGCAGCAGATTCAAGATCAGGAGAATCAGATTCATTATTTGTTGGCTGCTCTTCAGACTGCACATCCAGTTTATTACCTGTGGCTGCAGGTTGATCAGCACTACTTGCCTTTAGTCTTTGATCAGTACTGACATCAGTATTGACACTTGACCTTTGTATAGCCCTGGCATGCTCATGTTGACTGATAACAACTGGTATGGCTCTTGATCAGACTACTTCATTAATATATCTAATGTGGTATGCTTCTTTGTGAGCAAAAAGAAAAAACATTCTCATTGAATACCACACTTCTTGAAACATAGATCCTATCATTATCATCCATGCACTGATAACCATGATGCATTAGAGAGTAGACTAAGAAGACACATGCCTTGGATCGAAAACCCAACTTATGTGTATTGAACACCCTAAGATTAGGAAAGCACTGACATCCAAAGACTTTGAAAAAATTGTAATAAGGAGGCTTATCATATAGCTTTTGATAGGGAGAGATATTACAAAGAATCTTGGAGGGCATCCTGTT